GAGGCTAACAACCTCATCTCATAAAAACAATACAAATATCATCAGATTTATTCATGAGTTATTACCTGACTAGCAAAGTTTAGGAGATGAACTGTCCTGTTGATTAAGTTATGAAACCCAAATAGATTTTGACGAATCTTGATTTCAATACAGCGGCAATATTAATTCAGACATCTAGAAAAGACAAAATAATTGAGCAATGAATATCAATGTAAATACAGCTCAAAAAAGACACTTAAGTTATTTTTGGGGACACTAGTCAGTAACTAGTGCCCTCTGAGATTTGAACAGAAGGGAGATGAGTTCTTTCCAACTATCTAATACTAACAACGCTTAAGTTATAATAACCATAAAGTAAATAGAATATCAGATAAAATTAAGGACATTTCCACAACAAACTGTGGATCAACAAAACCCTGATGGCCAAGGTGAAGACAGTGTTTAAACCAGTTTCTTTTGGATACATAAGTTTGGTTTCTTAATATAAATCCCAAAGCCTCAGTAATGTGTGATAGACGAACTCCTAAAATAAAGTTAAGATTAGTTGTTATGTGGTAGACCATTTCAATTTAGTCTTCGTAAAGAACTAAAATCAGTTAGAGAAGTCATTGAAAATCCTGAAGCATGGACCAGATGTTTTGTCCCAGCTTGGCACTCTTCAGCAACGTGCACCCATCATCCCACTATAGAGTGAACGTGGGATCTTCGGGTTAGGAAACAAATCCCCTGGATTATTCGCCTACTTGGGCCACAATTAATAGACACGTGAATTGTAACTTTGTCAATTCGAGACATAGTCCTACCTTCGACCAATGCCTTGGATCACTACGGTCTTCACCCTGACTTAGAAGACTCCATTAGGCACGGCTTCTCACTACAGATTCGGGACATTTATCCAGGAACAGCAATCAGTCAGCTACAGTTTGATATTTAGATCATAAATTTTTGTACGAATCTGGATTAATTTGAATGACAAGATTAACATTGGAATTTATCCAAAATTCCAAAATCGCTTTAATCACAAAATATCTAACCCAATTGTCATCAGCATAGGAAATACATGGAAGAGAACATTTTTTCTACAGGTAACTGTCAGAAACACTTCTGAGGCTGAAATGAAAAAATACAGCAATCATCGTTTCCGGTAAAGTTTCTTCCTAATGTCCTATAGAATATTTTTTCGAAATGTTTTATCATAAGTCAGTAAAGTTATGACAAATAAAGTCTAATTCAAAAATAAAAATCAAGATTGTTAGACTTAATTGACTGGCTGATGATATGTCACTTTAAAAAATATTATGAAGACAGTGAATTAAACATCATATGGTGATTAGTATAGGATGAGCATTTCCTCCTCATTTAAACACCACAATGTTTCGGTGCTTGATTCAGGTGGGGTGTAGTCTGAATGAGACAATTCCAGACGCTAAGATCAGACTATACTTAGTTGATGAGTCTCAAATTCAGACAGACTAACGCTAGTCTCAAATCACACTTTGCTAACCACTGATTATTAAGAGAATGTATCGAGGTGAAATTATAGATACCACTGACGTGTCGGGCATCCGAGACTTTCTTCCATTCAAAATGCTTCAGTGTGAATTGACTTTATTGTAGCTCTAAGCTCAGGGGATGTTGCCATTTTCTAAAATACTTTCTTACTTTGTGCGTATATTGATCCCTACAGTTTAAGCTATTTATATTCAACACTTTTCAAATTTGATAACTTATAAGATGAGTTTGATATGAAGACTTCATGTTGTAATGGTAGAAGACGAGAGAATTGGTAGTAGAATGTCTATTTGCAATTCTCTATGTAGCCAAATTATGTACAACTTATCTGCAAACCACCGCTTGCAACGGATCTTCCGTGTTGTGCTACTTTTGACCTTCATATTGTTTTTCTTTGTGTTCCTTTAACGTCTCCCATATATCTCCACAACTCTGGTATCATTTGCCTTATTTGACATCAAATGAATCTCCCTGCTATTGTTTTTTATGCCGTTGAATATCTGTTTATATACTACTGATAAATCGTAGCAGTAGCACACGCCAAAATGCATTTGTCACTCATCCTTACTTTTGATTTGTAACCCCACTAAGTGTATACTCCTATTTTTTTAGTATCAGTCAGTCTTTTCATTAAAGTCACAAATACTAAATAATGATATGTACAACTGACTGTTTGAGTGGTTAGCATCGATTTTAATTTAGCCATTAGGCTTTGCTAACCAGATAGAAGTAATAAAAACACTGGACAGCGGTGTCGGTCTTTTTGACGCCGATTTCATCAACTGCGTGTCCGCATAAATATGCATCAGTTCAAATATTGAATTAGGTGTGTTCTCTGAGCTGGCTGATTTAATTGCGTAAATTTCGTCGCCCACCCCTTCTGGACAACATTTCCCTTCAGCGCAGATTCATTACCGAATCGGAATTCGAAGTTTCTTGTCATGTGATGATTTACTTTTTATTAGCTGGCAAATTCGATCTATAGTAATGAGTGTGTTTGTTGATCTCTGGCTGATTCACTTAAGTACCAGGCTTCTAGGAATTCCGTGACTGCATTACTGTCTAGTGTTTCCTCGCTCTGTTTAAAATTTCTACATTCTCCCAATCATCTAATTGGTCTCCATAATTATCCACATGCACTAATACGATGGAATATATATGTCATGCCTTTTTACAGCCAATTTGTGATCTTGGATTGGGATTCGAATAGGACGCCCAATTTGACTAATGTAGTGCTTATTGCGGTTCATGCATCCAATTTATTTTGTAAATGGTATCTAATTTGATCTTCTTTTTCTGTTGGATCTTTTGATTTGCACAATGTCGAATGAAGGAAAAACAGCTGCTAACCGTCTTTAAAAAGAATTGATATCCTCACAATTTCATAAAAAAGTTCTTCATCTGAAATCATAACATCACCAACAAACCATCATCAAACATCACAGGATGATGGTTTGTTGGTGATGTTATGATTTCAGATGAAGAACTTTTTTATGAAATTGTGAGGATATCAATTCTTTTTAAAGACGGTTAGCAGCTGTTTTTCCTTCATTCGACATTGTGCAAATCAAAAGATCCAACAGAAAAAGAAGATCAAATTAGATACCATTTACAAAATAAATTGGATGCATGAACCGCAATAAGCACTACATTAGTCAAATTGGGCGTCCTATTCGAATCCCAATCCAAGATCACAAATTGGCTGTAAAAAGGCATGACATATATATTCCATCGTATTAGTGCATGTGGATAATTATGGAGACCAATTAGATGATTGGGAGAATGTAGAAATTTTAAACAGAGCGAGGAAACACTAGACAGTAATGCAGTCACGGAATTCCTAGAAGCCTGGTACTTAAGTGAATCAGCCAGAGATCAACAAACACACTCATTACTATAGATCGAATTTGCCAGCTAATAAAAAGTAAATCATCACATGACAAGAAACTTCGAATTCCAAGTCGATAATAAAAGTGATCAATAGAAGTGTAAATTAACAACTAGTCACGATAGTGTTTGCTTGGAGATACAATTATATCATCGTTCATGGGGAATTTAAATGACTTCATTTTATGCTAAAACTTGCGCTGAAGATTTTGTCCAGAAGGACGACGAAAGATTCTCAATTAAATCAACCGGCGCAGAGAACTCAACTAATTCATTATTATCCACCTGAGTTGCTAATCTTGTTCGTTATTTCAGTTAGAATCAACTAAACAATACAGCAGTGTATAGAATCAAATATTTCCCCCTTATACTCTCTTATTTGTACTCTGTAGTGAACAGCCTTCTTAAACATACTTAGCTACTTAATATTATTATCATTGGCTTACTTTCTTGTACTTTACACTATTCCTTCGTTTGTATATCTTCTGGGTCCGACTATATTATCACTATGATTATTAAAAAATTGTCCTGTCATTAACCATCATGTAATATTAGTTTTGTGTTTGTTTTTTTGTTCGGCAATATTAACTGACAATCTTGGTTGTGAACGTGGCGTTCACATCACCATCTTAAAAAATTTTGTATTATGCATGATTACTCACGCTACCACTACAAACACTGCATTAGTGCTGACAATAAAAAAAACAACCTGAAATGTTTATTTTATGATTGTTTAGTGTAGTTCAATCAAATTAACTGATCATCTTGGCTATAAACATTCTTAAGAACATCTCATAACTTCTTGTATCATTATAGCTTTTACTATTCACCACGCATACACATATCATAACTTCCACTACCCAATACTGAAATATTTTTCATTATTGGTGTTTATCTTCCTTTGTACTTGGTATTTTTATTTGCATTTTTTTTATTTCTGCGTTTCTTTTTTTTGGTTTTTTGTGGGTTTTTATATTTATTTTTTTCGTAATACTCCTTTTAAATGTACGATGAAATTAGATGCACTATTGTAGATATTTGCTGAAAATTCCACACTGTACCACAAGTACTGTTTCTGGAATAAAGCGAAATTGTTATGTTATGTTTTGTTATTATAGGTTTGCAAAATGAAACTTTAGTGAATTTAAGCTTTGAGCTATATAGATTGCCAAAAAAAAGAAATAGAAATTACAGTCTCAATCATTAACAAAAGTTTTATCTGAGTCAGTGAAAGAAAATATTTCCTTCTCTTCATCAGCAATAAGAGCAGTTATGTTGTTTTATTGATCATATTCATATCAATTATGATATGATTATGAACAATAAGTTTTGTTCGAAACGTCATCCAGTAAATAATACTATTTCACTGTGTGATACATATAATAAACCAACTAATATTAGTTCTTTGTTATCACTTTTCCCACCAGCTCCACGATTTCTCGCAAAGTTTCCTCCGCACCCTTAGATACTCGACGCAGATATGCATATAACTACCTAAATAAAAGCCAACTAAGCACTGAAGTACATTTTCACAAATTATTATAAGTAGTATATATTTAGTTTCATCATTATTCTTGGTTTACTTTACATTTCTTTTCTAGTGATTCCGACTGGTGGTTGGTTGAACATTCAGGACAAGTTGGTTACATTCCATCCTCGTATTTAGCTCAGGCCAATTCAGTTGAAGCTGAAGAGTAGGTTTATTAATAATACTTTTGTTATTATGTACCGTGCTTGATTTATAAAGTGCTTTTAATCGTACCTCTATTACACTGTCTGTAACATGCATGACAACAGCGGTAAATTGTGGGTAGATTCAACATTCCCTAAATCCTGAATATAGCTATTGATTCAGCCTACAATATTGTCGTGACACCAGTTGTCAGTAGTGTAAGTAATCTCGATTTACAGAAATTAGAATTTATTAGTCATTAAATAACGACCCAGTGACTTTAAATAGTATCGTGCTGTTTTAGTAACCTGGATTGTATTCCTGATGAAGAGTCCCGGGTAGGTATGAAATAGCTTGTCTATTACTCTTCGATAATCAAAGATTTTGTAACTGAGATGTCGGTTCACAATGAAATCTAACTTGAATTTCATCGAATGACTGCAAATCAATACTTGAAAATCACCACACGATCTCATTCTTAACCATGGGTTTGCGTTTGTTGGAATTGTCTGACCAACAGTGTCTGTGTTGGTGACACACCTGATAGACCCCTTTAAAGGCGATACTTTGAAATAATTTAAATTTAAAGTCTGACTTTATCACTGATATTTTGAGGTTTCATTGAAATTGTGTCGGAGCTAAACTGTTGAATACTGGATAGGCTTGGATTCTTATCAAATGTTCGTATCACTCATTACCTAATGAGTTGCAGTTATACTTTATTTGCAAACAAATATTCGAAGAATGTGTAATCATTGCTATATCACTGACTATGCTAACTCTTATATTAAGTTTTGTTTACTACTTAACGGATAACACCTACACATAAGTGAATATGGAAATGACTTTTGAACATAATCGTATGTCATGATGAACACAGGGGTTATTCACATTTCTTTTATCAGCTATAATATAATTAGGAATAAATGAGTCAGAAAGAGATCTCTTCCTTTCGGAACTTCACCTTGACAACAGAGGTCAAAGGTTATTGTCAGTAAGTTACAAAGTAAATCAAAGTACATGAGTAATAACAATGTTTGAAAAAAATTAAGAATAGTCTTAAGTAGTCAAAAAAGGCCGACTGATTAGTTGAGTGATGAATGATCGTTTCGGAAACAGTTGATAAGAGAACAAAAGACTGAAAATGAAAATAAAACGAACTACATAGATCTTATTAGACGAGTTATTCAAGAAGACAAAGAAAAAAGTAAAAATAGTGCTAAGGGCATGGTAGTAAAAGATACTGGATAAAACGTTACTGAACACAAAGTTCAGGTTTCTCTTCAAGGATTGCTTAAGCTTCGGTTGCATATGAAGAAGACGTAGGCGAAATCCTTTCGAACGATTTGGTCGTACTCTTTATATGACTCTGGAAGAGGTCTCTACTGATACTGAACGAGCAAAAGCAATAATATGCTTCAGAATTGAGGTATTGACCGTTCTAAGTTCCCCTTTTCACAATCGTGTTGGTAGGTGTTCATGGGCATGTCTAGACAATGTTATGCTGGTACAGTCTATGCACTTAGCTACGAAAAACCTACACAAAGCATCAAAGTGGAATGAATAAATAAATAGATTTTCAAGAATTAGTTTATAGGGATCTTGTTTGTTTCAAGTTAGACCAGGGATTGATATCAGTTAGAGAACTATTAAAAACCAGGGAGTACTGGACAGCTGTTTCATCCTGATCTGGGAATCATCAGCAGTACACACCCACCGCCAAGGTTCTGACCCGGAATCTTCCGATTGCAAGGCAAGCTCGTATACCATTTATCCACTGGGACCTGATCCATTGACAAATACATGAATTCTAACTTCTACTAATTCATGAGTTAGGGCGACCACCAACCAATGTCATCGGTGGGGCATCCACCCTCACACGTGACTGGATGAACCTCACTGGTTACCACTTCTCATTAAAACTCCAGGAAACTCTGTCCAGTGGACGCATACTGCCGGTAAGTCCCAAACTAAGCTGACGAAACAGCTGTCCAGTACTCCTGACCTGGTTTTCAATGATTGTCTAACTGATATCGATCCTTGGTCTTAATTGAAATAAATAGATGCTAAATAATGAAGGATTGAGACAGAGGTAAAGTTCACTACTGTGGTGTATTATTATAATATTATTAATTTTTGCATAGTTTTCATATTTTCTCCTTTCCTACCTCTTGCTTTTCTTTCTTCTTGAATTGACTGTATTGAATATATCAAAATTTTCTCTTTACTTTCTTTTTATGCTTTGGTTGTTTAACTAACTATGTTAAAGGTCAACAATTACAATCAGAAATGAAAAACGATATTTATCTTCACTATTATTCGATCCATGTATAAACATACACACACATGTTTACTGTAGGAGAGTGAATGCACACTGTATTAGGGTCACACACTGGAAGCCGGTACATTTGCATCTATGTTCCAACAAACCAACAAACAGGTAAGCAAAAAGGAAAACACTAGTACAAAATAATATCAAAGGGGTAGAATATATACATATATATATGATGCATACAAATAGTACCCTAGATATTTTTCTGTACTAGTGTTTTCCTCATCGCTTATCTGTTTGTTGATTAATTTTATTGTATTTCCCTGCTTCAATCGACCTCACAACTAACTAACTGGTAACATTACTACTGTCATTTTTATACAATGGAGAAAAAGAGGGAGAGGTGAAGAGAAAACAACGTGAAGAGAGTATAAGAGGGTCTACTGATAGAAAGGATAAAAGTTGCCTGAAACAGGTGTTAAGTATACCGGTTGTTGCTGTTTTTGTTGTTGTGACTGTTTGGTTTTTGATTTCCACACTTGGCATTTTCAGTGTATACTGTGTGCAGATGAAATAACTTATTTGTTTATCTGAATAATAGTGTTATTTATTTTATTATCGATTGTAGTAGTAGTTTATTTTTCCTATAGTAGTATAGTAGTAGTAGTAGTAGTAGTAGAGTTAGATTGCCTCGATCCAACTAATACAAACATCGAAATCTACTACTTTAATATGAATATCAAACAACATTTATTCCTACAAACTAGCAATGGTAAACATCTAAAATGTATTACTTATGTCATTATTGTAAACACAGCATCGGATTATGCCAATATAATCAGCCACGTTGTTAAGATGACGTATTAATGATATTTACCTTATATATTATGATTTATGCTCTCGCTGAGTAGTTTCTGAGTCATAGAAATATTTGAAGGTTAGTGTGTAGGGTCAGTTGGGTCCCAATGGCTTAATGGTCTACGAGCTTGCTGGCCTTGTAGCCAGAAAGTCATGGGTTCGGACCCTATTGGGGTGGGTGCATGCTATTGAAGAGTCTCAAACTAGAATGACGAAACAGCTGACTGTCCAATACTCCCTGCAGGTTTTCCAATGGTTCTCTAAATGATATCAGCTCATGATGAAATCCTCCAACCAAAACCCAGTAAAACAAAGTTAACTAAAGCACACATTCTTTGAAACTAGGTGTGATGTGCATAAGGGAAAAAGTGTTCAGTGGTCATCAGTGGTGATCCATGGTAGAACTAACAGTTAAAATTTATTTCCCCTGACACTTTTAGCATTTGCCCATTGTCTTAAATTGTCATAAACTGAATCAAACTAATTTGTCAATTCTTTTAGGGAAATCATCTTTTTGTTTAACTCATATCATTCCTGTATAGTTGTATATACTACTGATTGACTGAAATCAGTGTTTTCAAAGTACTCATGTCAATCACCAGTGCTTGTTAGCTAAATGGAAGCAATTTAAACACCCGATAGCTGTTTCACCTGTTTGGGATGGAGTTCAGCACTGATACACTTAGATAAACTTTATAGTAGAAAGTGACACTTATGAATACAATCAATGTTGTCTATCCTTATTTCAGACTCTGAAAATGTATCTACTGAAAAGTCTGAGCTTTTCTTCAGATAGTCAACATCTGAAGTAGATGAAATTGATCTAAAAGACTACACCTTGTATTCTGTTAACTGTTATATCAACAATTTGTAACTTCGTGAATTCAGGGACAAGCCAAGTTATTTGTGTAACGAATAATGATACCGCTTTATCCTAATAACTCCAGTTGAATAACCAGTTAGTATAGAGTTTCCTTTCAGTATCACCAAATCACAATCTGAGTTAAAAAAAACCGCTATTAATACTACTATTATTACTATTATTCCTTTGGGTTCCAGTAGAACATAGGGCTTCAAAAGCACATCTCCACTTTGTTCTATTTTCTGCTGTCCTCTTCATCTGGGTCCATGATTTTCCATAACCTCTTATCTCTTCATTACCACATCATTTCCTCCATGTCACCCTCGCACTCAGTGCTTCACATTGGGATTTCACTCGAGCAATGCCTGCATTGGGCGCTACGTCATTCAACCGATGTCTCCTCAGTCATTAGTATGCCCGATCCATCTCCATTTTCTCCTACATATTTGTTGAGCAATCGGCTCTTGCTTTCTTCGTTTGTTTATCGCCAGAGTCTCTTGTTGCTAATTCCTTCTGGCCAGCTGGTCGGCCTGTCATCAGTATGGAGCCAGAGAAGGAGACAGCTGTTGATAAAAGTCTGTAGTAGACTACTGGAAATCCTTTACGTGACTCAAGCGCAGCAGTGCGATTTTCTGACCCGCGTAAAAGAACTGACTTCACATTTATGTTTAGTAGAATCTGAATCATGTTGTCTATATATTGGCCGAGTGAAGCAGATGACTTCCAAACTTGTTTCAGGTTGATGAAGGCCTATTTCGCTTTTCTGATTTTGGCTGTCTGGTTGGCTTCGGCATCTTCATCCATGCTGTCCGACTGCCTGTGTTTAAACCGCGTGCTTCATAGCATCCAGTGGATCTTTTATTCTCTCCAGAATGACGCGACGTAGTATTTTACTTTGCGTGGACAAGAGAATTATTCTACGCTTGTTCTTGCAGAGTCACAAGTCACTCTTCTTTGATAGCTTGACAAAAACCGCTGTTAAGATGCAGTTAAATATTTATCCTAGTGTCTATACTGTAATAACTGAATT